AAAAACAGAAAACAAAAAACCGCTTAGCAGTAAAGTTGGGACATAGATGGTGATGGGAGCAAGAAGCCCCATTCCATGGTTTTCCAAAACAAGCCATGCCATTTTCAGGAGTGTGCCAAAGAAATCCAACACACGCGGTGTACCCGCAAGTTTCTCCAAAGTGCCAGCCCCTCTGAATACAGACAGCGCTTCCATCGCCGAAACACCGGGAACTAGTCAACGCCAGGCAGGCGCGGTTTCTCACGGAGGACACTAGGGGGCAGGCCATTAAAACTCAACTGCTCAAAACAGTTGCAAAAGCAAAAACTGCTACAGTCCAGGACCCCGGACTCCGGATTGAAAGTTGCCCCCCGCCCCCCCGCCCCCACCAGACGACGCAAGTGCGCGCTCAGGGAAGGGCCCCGCGCGGGGCAGCACGCCGTGCGCGCATGCTACTTTTTCTTTTCGGAGTGTGTTTACAAGTGTAAATACAGGGACTAGCCTGCTCTTCCCCAGAGGTACTTCACTTAGAAGTTCCTAGAAGTAGAGGAATAAATTGCATTGGCCAGGGCAGGTCCCGGGGTTTGGGCTGGGCTAAAGGATACCAAGAGGGACTAAATCAACATCCTCTTATTGGTGGCACGTTTACAAGAAAACCACTCAGCATGAACACCCCAAAGGAAGCTGTGTTTAATCCCTCAATTAAAGAACTGTAATTTTATAAACTCTACCTTTGCAGCAAAGGTCTCCAAACAAAGAGGAAGGTTGATGGGAATCTAGAGAAGGCTTTGGTCCCTGCACAGGGCTTGGCTTCACTTCCCTGTTCCCTGCCACGGAACTGCCTGCCTGTTGTCTTGTATAGATTTTTCTATGGATTTTATTATGTCATTGTGATAAAGCCAACACTCAGTGTTTCCAGGCAGACACTGCAGTTTCCTTCTGACCCAAAGACCAGGCTTCTCACTGGCTCAGAGGTCAGCACCTAGAAACAGCCCTATGGCTTTGCTGGAGATCTGGCCATGGAATTGCGTTGGCTGGCGTTTATGGAGAGGTTCCCAGCTCTTCCTTGGAGGTCTAAACTGGATTTCCCCAGAGAAGGAGGGCTTTGCTGAGTACATGACAAAGAGCTGGAGGGGCCTGCCAGGTCACTGCCTCTGGCTCCTCATTGTTCAGCCCACCAGCTTCCCAGGGCTCCTGTCCAAGGGAGCCGGAAGAGAAGGCCGCAAAACTGCCAAACCACCCAACTCCTGCCCACACAGACACAAGGACATGAATGATCAAACACTGTGCATAATAGGAAAACCCCAAGAGACACTTTTAAGAATCCCCTTGAGGGAAGGGCAACTGGACCTGCGGCAGGAAGAAGGCTGAAGGAAGAGTAGAGAGTTACTCCCTGGGAGGAGGAAGAAAGCAAACGTACTTCTTTTTCTCCTACTAAGTGATGCAAAATTCTACTTTTTAATTCCTGAGTTTAATTTTAAAAACTGTTTTAAAATTATGGAAGCAATGTTTGTGGTAACCAGTTGAATAGAGGTAAGTTTAGTAATTTTCCCCTAAAGCCTACCTTTTACACATTGAAGAAACTTCCTACAAGTTTTGAGTTTTGTAGACAAAGCATCCTTTTACCTCTGAGTGTATTTTTTTTTCCTTTGTTGACTTACATGCAAGTTTGCAACAAGCAAGGAGGGTTAATTACCTCGTGTATCTAATAAGAAAACTCAAGATAGGGGGATTGGTCGTCTCTGATTACTGATACATTTCCTTAAAATAAAAATAACATTTTTGCTTCAAGTATCCAGGGAAGTGAGGGAAAATGTTTCTCAAACAAGTCTGACACTATATTGGCAGGGTCTGAGTATACTGTATGAATCTAAAAACCTTGTATTCATTTAATCAATTTTAAAGACAGAAACCTTCTTTTGCAGTAATTCACAATGAAAAGATATTTCAGTTGGTATTTCTCAAGTGGGTTTTTAAGATTCCTGCTCCACACTCTGGGAGGCCAAGGCATGTGGGTCTCTTGAGCTCAGGAGTTCAAGACCAGCCTGAGCAAAGTGAGACCCATATCTCTACTTTAAAAGAAAATAAAAAATTAGCCTGGCATTGAGGCAAGCTACTCAGGAGGCTGAGGCAAGAGGATCAGTTCAGCCCAAGAGTTGGAGGTTGCTGTGAGCTATGATGACAAGGAACTCTATCCAGGGCAATAAGCAGGATTCTGTCTCAAAAAACAAACAAACAAACAAACAAAAAAACCCAACAACAACAAGATTCCTGTTCCAAAAGACTATAAGAAATTATTTTTTTATAAAAAGGTGATGATCAACATTTATCTAGGTCCATGAGTTCTAAATACCACTAGTATTATATTTTTATGAGAATTAAAAAAAAAATACCATGTACCCTAGGTCCCCTACTCCAGAACTGCTGGGGTAAGGCCCAGAAATCTGCATTTTACATGGTCCCCCGATGACTGTGTCAAGCAGTGACCTCGGGGACAGAGATTTCGTACCAGCCTCTGGTCCCTGTGCCTCAGGGACCTGCATTCAGCAGCACAGAGGGACTTTTCCCTCTCCAACCACAACATCATACCTCTCCTTCCCCTCTTAGATCACAGCAGTGCTTCTCAAAGTATGGTTTCCAGACAAGTGGCAATGGCATCACCTGGGAACTTGAATACAACTTTCGGAGTGCCATCCCAGGCCTACTACATGAGAAATTCCGGGGCTGGGGCAAACACAAGCTGTGCTTTGACAAGCTAAATTTTGAGAACCTCTGGATTAGAGACTTTCACAATTCCAAGAGAGAATGAAGAAAGACAACTCCATGTCAGGTAGAATCAAGTTTATTAATAATAGCCTTGATTACAATCACTCTCAAGTGTAAAAAATAAAGGGCGATTAATTGAAATTTAAAACTCACTTGGACTTGCTGTTTGGCCTTTCACTAAAAGTGCAAAAGGGTGGGGATCTTGCCGGATTCTGAATCAAATGGTCAGGTGGAGTTCACTGGAGAATGAGGTAATAAAAAAGACAAAAGTGACAACTGGAGAGCTCAAGTCTCCTCTGTGTTGGAATGACATTACACAATGACAACCATGGCAGGCGAAGGGATGGAATAAGACAAACTTACAGCCAGACTATGGAATGCACACGTCTATCTACACAAAGACACAGATACACACATGCAGAGTCACACACACACACCCCCAAACTGCAGAGACAAGGTTTGAAAACGATTTCTGTCCTTTCTTTAAGCTGACTGACACATCTGTCAGCCACCATTATGCAACAAAGGGCTAAAGTAGAAAACCTTGCTACATTTCCACAAAATATGCTAGCTCGATGCCCAGTACCATGCTGGTAAATGTGTCACCACTATAAGACATGTTGAGACTTTCCCAGCGTTCCACAGGCTGCAATCTGCCCCCCAGGAGAGAAATACCTGGTGGACACAGATTAAAATCTGGGGGGGCAAACTCATCTCTCCCATCTAAAGTCAGGGCAGACAGCAGCACCTAGAAATGGTTTTCCACCTTGTGTCACAGAAAACTTGCCTGGTTCGATGCATTCCCCTCAAAAATATTTGTGCTTTGATACAATCCTGATAGTTTGTCTTCAAGAAGGGAGCCCTGGCCATGCACTTTTATTTTTTTAATAAAAGCAAACTAAAACTGGAAGAAGAAAAATCCGTTAGAAACTCTGGGGTTCTATCAATGTTGTTTTGGAACTGGGTTTAATCCCATTTACAAAGAAAGAAGAGAATGGGTTCAGAAGGGGCCACTAAGATGGATGCTGGGAGACCCTGCTGAGTCTATGGCAGCATTTGCCATAGGATCGGAGGACACGCCACAACCTCCCATGGCCATGAACCTAGGAAATAAATGCTGACCAAATAACATGTGTGAATGTTCGTAGGGAAGATGGCAGGAAAGGGAGATGATGGATTCAGATTCACAGGTCATGCAGGTTAGGAATATACCAAAAATTAATATTTGAGCTGAGTAAGAAAACACTTTAAAATTTAAGAGGAACTGTATCATAGCTTTTGCCTGTGGAAGACCAAAGGAAAAAAAGAACAGAACAAAAAAAATTAAAAAACCCCAAACAGGGTGGCACCTGTGGCTCAGTGAGTAGGGAGCCAGCCCCATATACAGAGGGTGGCGGGTTAGAACCCAGCCCCAGCCAAACTGCAACAAAAGATAGCAAGGTGTTGTGGTGGGCGCCTGTAGTCCCAGCTACTCAGGAGGTTGAGGCAAGAGAATCACCTAAGCTCAAGAGCTGGAGGTTGATATGAGCTGTGACACCACAGCACTCTACCGAGGGTGATAAAGTGAGACTCTGTCTCTTTAAAAAAAAAATTTAAATAAAAATAAAAAACAAAACAAATGACCCAGAATATTCCAGACTTTCCAAAAACCCAATAGCTAAATTGGTGGGGTAGGGATAAAGGAGTCTTTAACGAATACCTCTTCATTAGCCTCATTTTCTCCTTGGGTTTCACTGATAAATAAAACTCAGGCCTACTTAGAAAAAAGATCAGTTCTGCTAAAATACAGCATCGTGAAGCCTTCTGATACCCTCGCTCAGTGCACGTGGAATACACAACTTCTTTTCTACGGAGATGGCCCAGGATAGACCAAGTGTGCCCACCCAAGTCACTTGCTGAAGGCGATCACAAGATCCGAACCCAAAGACAAGCTGTTTTCCTCTTCAGCTGACAGTTGCCAGAGTTTCTTGATCTGTTCATGGAGGGAGGAAAACAAACCACTGCCCTCCGGTGAGGGGCTGAGTCTTAGCAGACACACACTTCTTCCAGCCATGGAAGACAGGCAGTCCCTTCGAGGTGTGATGACGAGCAAGACTGCCCCTTCCAGTCACCACTCATGGAAGCAGAGGACAGGACTGTATTTTCCATGAATTCAAGTACATCTGAGTCCCCCACCCTCCCTTTCTTTTTTGGTAAGCATCCAACCATCCATAAGTTCATGGCTACAGTAGAGATTCATGGCGCAAAGACTTTCATACTGGCTACTTTTTTTTTTAAAAATTCTGTCAATGAGCAGCATTTCCCAGTTTTAACCCCTCCCCCCCAAAAAACCATGTTCTTGGCAGCTCCATTGGGTGAGATCGCAGGATGCCTCTGTGGTCAGGTCTGTGCAGCTTGGATATCAGCTGGGCATGTGGGAGGGTCGGGAAGGCTGGGTCTGTCCAGTGTCTTGCAGCAGCTGTTGCAGAGGCTCTACCAGCTGGCCCTCACGGCTTCAATGTCACTGACCAGATTCTGAGCTAAGCATATCCCAAAAATCTGAGAAAGGAAGTAAAAGTGAGTTAAACAATGCCATTGTTTCCCTGGCCACTGTGTCTCATAATTTTTTTAATCTTTAATTCTTAAACTTTGAGCTACAATTCATATATAGTAAAAATGCATCTTTTTTTTTTTTTTTGACAGAGTCTCATTTTGTTGCCCTTGGTAGACACAGCTCACAGCTGCCTCAAAATCTTGGGCTCAAGCAATCCTCCTGCCTCAACCTCCCTAGTGGCTTGGACTACAGGCGCCTGCCACAACACCCAGTTACTTTTGCTAGTAGAGATAGGGTTTTTAGTAGAGATGGGGGTCTTGCTCTTGCTCAGGCTGGTCTCGAACCCTTGAACTCAAGCAATCCACCCACCTCAGCCTCTCACAGAGTGCTGGGATTACAGGTGTGAGTCACCATACCTAGCAAATGCATCCCTTTGATGTATATAATTCAGTGGTTTTTAGTATATTCAAAAGCTATGCAACAACCACCACTGTCTAATTACAGAAAATTTTCATTACTCCCAAAAGAAACCCGACACCCACAGAGCAGTCATTCCATTTCCCCCTTTCCTATAGCCTTGGAAACCACTATTCTGTTTCTGTGGATTTGCCTGTTCTGGAAATTTCACATAAATGGAATCATGTAATACATGGATTTAGGATTTTTTCGTGTCCCAAAATGTTTTCAAGGTTTGTCTACATGTACTACCAGCATTCCTTTTGCTGGCCGAGTAATATTCCACTATGTGGGTATATCACAGTTTATCCACTCCTCAGTTGACGAATATTTGCATTGTTTGTACTTTTTGGCAACTACGAGTAATGCTGCTATGAACATTCATGTACAAGTTTTTGAGTGAACATGTTTTCAATTCTTCTAGGTACATTCCTACCTGTATGACCCAGCAGAATTTTGGCTCACATGGTAAATCTATGTTTAACTTTCTGAGAAACTGCCAAATCATTTTCCACAGAGGCTGCATCATTTTCATTCCCTCCAGCAACACCTGAGGGTTCCATTTTCTGCACATCCTGCCCAACACTTGTTCTCTTTTTTATTATAACCATCCTAGGGAGTGCGAAGAGTTACCTCATTGTGGTTTTGATTTGCATTACCGTAATGACTAATGATGCTGGCATCTTTTCATGTGCTCATTAGCCATTTTAATCTTCTTTGGAGAAATATCTATTCAGATCCCCTATTCCAGGGATTCTCAACCTTCCTAATGCTGCAGCTCTTTAATACAGTTCCTGTGGTTGCAACCCACAGGTTGGGAACCGCTGCTCTATTCATTTTTAAATTGGGTTTGTCTTTCTGTTATTGAGTTGTAAAAGTTCTTCATATATCCCAGATATTAGATCCTTTCAAGACAATGATTTGCAAATATTTTCACTCATTTTGTGAGTTATCTTTCCAATTTCTTTTTTGTTCTGTTTAAGATAGAGATGGGATCTCATTCTTGTTCAGGCTGGTCTTAAACTCCTAAACTCAAGCAATCCTCCCGCTATGGCCTCCCAGAGAGCTAGGATTACAGGTGTGAGCCACCATGCCCAGCAACTTTTCACTTTCTTTATGATATCATTTTCAGGCACAGAAGTTTTAAATTTTGATGAAATCCAATTTACCTATGTTTTATTTGGTTGCTTGGGCTTTGGCTATCATACCTGAGAAAATATTGCCTAATCCAAAGTCACAGAGATTGACATGTATGTTTTCTTCCAGACTTTTATAACATTACCTCTTATATTTAGGTCTTTATTCTATTTTGAGTTAATTTATATATATATATTGCAAAGGAGGGAACTAAATTCATTCTTGTGCATGTACATATCCAGTTTCCCCACGACTATCTTTTGCAAAGACTGTTCAACACTGAATGGTTTTTGTTTCCTTCTCAAAAATCACCTGTCTGGGTCTATTTCTGGACTTTCCGTTTTTCCTCTAATCCATGTGGCTAACCTTACTTGAGTACACATTATCTTCATTACTGTACTTTTTAATTAAAAAGTGTTAATTCTTCAACTTTATTTTTCTTTTTCGAGTTTGTTTTGGCTACTATGGAGCCCTTGCATTTCCATATGAATTAGAAAGGATCAGCTCCACTGTTTCGCTGAAAGCGTAGTTGGAATTTTGATAAAGGTTGCACTGAATGTGTAGATCAATTTGAGGAATACTGCCACCTGAAGGATATTAATTCTTGCCATCTGTAAACACAGGATGTCTTTATATTTACTTAGATCTTCTTTACTATCTTTCAAGTGTGCGCTCTTAGGAAAGTATCACACCACCAACGTGCAAAGTGCAGCTCTTGTGACTGCTAAGGAAGAATCATAGGTGCTCCCTTCCCATACTGGCTCTTCAGGAAGGTGAACCAATGAGACAAAGGGGCATGTGAAACTTAAAAAACCTAACCGTACCACTGAAACCTACTTCTGACTTCATGTCTGCCTCAGCTGTCACAATGCATTTTTACTGAGCCCCGGGAAATGATGGAACGCCAGCAGGCAAATACAATTTTTCCATCTTGAAAAGAAAAAGGGTTTCCCAAGGTATTTTGAGATAGTTGAAGCTAAAATAAGAGCTTTAATAAAAGGCAAAGTAAATCATTTGGTCTATTCCTTAGCCCTTCAATGTGTTTTTGTTTTTTTTTTTTTTTTTTGCAGTTTTTGGCCAGGGCTGGGTTTGAACCCACTACCTCTGGTATATGGGGCTAACACCCTATTCCTTTGAGCCACAGGCGCCGCCCCTCCCTCCAATGTGTTTTTAAAACTATGACATTAATATGATTAAATGAAACTCCTGTCCTGGCAAGGGCTCTCCCAGCATATCATTCCCCTGCAACATCCATAGAGGACCCCTGTCTTACCTGCAGCAATGCAATGCCTATGAAAATACCAGCCACGATGGTTAAATTGTCCTGCAACCACTTCTCAAACTGGGGCACGCAGCCTTTTGTGTAGATTACAATCTGCTGGTCAACTTCCTTCACAAGGGAAGAGGAGAGTACAGTGTCACAGATACAGCACGGTACACATGCAAAAGTTCCTCCAAACACCCTTTGTGCTAAGTGACAAGATGAGATCCCACTTACTGGTTTTTGCCTGGCATCATAGCCACACTGTGTGTTGATGACATCTTCCTGGGGAAGAAAGAAAAGAAAAGTGAACATCACTCTTGTTAGACAGAAAGTCTATCAAGGAAAGAGCAGAAGCCCCCTGTCAGGTGTTAGTGCTAAAGCGTGTATCTGTGCACACACGGCATAGCACTGCGTCAAACACTTTCTATACATCACCCCGTGCAACTGTCATTATCATCTTCAGATGCAGGTACTCAAGTATGTCCTATTTTACAAATGAGGAAAACTAAAGCTCAGGGACTGTCAGAAGACAGTACTGCACGGGAGGTTCAAGTGTCAAGGTGTTGCCAACCTCAAGAAGCTTATGGAGCGTAGGGAATTGGAGACATAGATTAAAAGCCATAGTTAAAGGGCATGATGACCATCTTCATTTATGCTTTTGGGAGACTTTCACTTTTTAATGTACTATATACTTCTGTATTATTTAAATGGTTTTTCAATGAGAATCCATGACTTTAATAATTAAAAAAATGAAAACACAATGCCCTGGCCAGGCACAGTTGCTCATGCCTGTGATCCTCGCATTCCCAGGGGAAGCCAAGGTGGGTAGATCTCTTGAGCTCAGGAGTTCAAGACCAGCCTGAGCAAGAACGAGATCCCTGTCTCTGCTAAAAATAAGAAAATTAGTCAGGTGTTATGGTGGGCAGCTGTAGTCCCTGCTACTGGGGAGGCTAAGGCAAAAGGATAGCCTGAGTCCAAAGGTTTGAGGTTGCTGTGAGCTATGATACCACAGCACTCTACCTGGGGCAGAGAATGAGACCATCTCAAAAAAATAAAAAATAAAAACCACATGTCACATGGACAGCCTGATGTTACACAGGGCTTAATCAGAAACATGGGTTCTGTTTTTTTGAGTTAGGTTATTTCCTCCCTCTACAAGGTATGTGGCAGAATTTATTAGTTTAGAGCTCAAAGGATGAGCTGTCTCTTCCAGAGGACCTGTAGTTGAAAATGGAGGCCTAGTACCTTCTAAGAATCCTTATAATTCTCCAGATAGACCATTAATATTGGCCAGGAACTTGCGACAAGGACTGCATTGTGCAGCACCTCCTGGCCAGCATGAGGCCACCGGGATGAGCACCTTGAGCTCTGAGCAGGGCACTGTGTTGCCATGTTGCCACTGGCCGTCCTCAGAAGAGAGAGGAGCAAGCCAGCAGGAGAGGTGGGCTTTCCTGTCTCAGAGCCAGGGGAGCACATTCCTTATTGATTCTCAGCTTCCTTCTTCAGACCCGGGGAGACAGCCCAGGTGGACCCCTGGGAAGCAGCCTTGTCCACCCCAAGACCCTCTTCAAGCACCCTACAGCCTCCACCTCCAGGAGGAGCACCCTGCTGAACTCTTCAGGGTCAAGGAGGGTTTGGGGAGGATGTTTGGAGAATGTAGGGTCAGAGAATGGCTGAAGGGCCGTGGGACAACTGTGGTCATGAGACACGGGGACACGAGTAAGAGAGCATGTAACCTCTCGAGTTTGCCCTTCTCACACTAGAGAGTTGCATTTTAAGTCATTTAATGTACCAGACATGGGATTTGACCTAAATTATAATCTAATCTTTGGTAAAAAAAAAAAAAAAAAAAGAGTGGCTTATAGATTTTATATTTTCCTTTCATTTTGAATAAAATACGAACCTCAATTATCATAGTCATTATGGTGCCTGGAGTCTGGGCAGCTGTGTCTTCCTACAAAGCAGTCTCGCCTCATCTTGTCTCAAACTCTCCTCCTACTTACTCCTACTATTTCCCCTTGAAAGAAAAGGGTTACTAACCCCAAACCGTTGAGAGAGCTCGCCTGTGAGCCTGTGCTCATAAAGGAGAACCAGTAGGTGGCTCCTGGCTGGCTGCCTGGGTCTCAGGCTCAGCCCCTTCAGCTGCTAGCAGACTGAGTTTGGGCAAGTTACTCACAGCCCACCTGCCTTGGTCTTCACCTGAAAAGGGAGGATAATGGTGGTGTCTGCGGCAGGAATGTTCTGAACTTAAATGAGCCAAAGCACATAAAGGCTCAGAATAGGAACCAGCCTGTACTGCTAAATTAATGTCAGTGATGATTACTCCTACTGGGAGATCTGCGCACTATACCCCCGACAGGAGCTACAATTAGGAGTAACCAGCTAAGAACAGGTTTCAAGAAAAAAATCTCTCTCTGCCGTCCCACGCACACTCTCAGAGGGACGTGCAGAGCTGGCCAACGGCTTGCTGGCGTTCACTTACTGCGGGGTCTTTAGTACAGCAGGAGAAGGGCACGCCGCACCGCTCTCGACTTGCATTGGAATCTGTGCAATTGAAGTAAATATTTAGGTTCCAATCATCAGCTCCAAAAGCCCCACAGCACTGCCACTAGAGCAAACAGGAGAGAATTAGAACACCTCGACGTGGGGGTGACCAGGTGCCTACACTCACACCCGCCAGAACACACTCACTCTGCCAGCTCTAACCTGCTCTTCGGTCTCAAAATTATTTTTAATCCAAACTGAACCTACATGGCCCCTGTAAAAGCTTCCAAAGTAATTAAGGCTGAGGTTTATAAGGATGTGCTGGCATATGACTCAAATGACTGATGAGACCATAGTGTTAGATAAAGGGCTGAGCGCTTGTATGTCAGGGCTCAGAACGAGATCTGCTTGGCTTGGGCATATGCTAGAAGGGTAAACAAGAACATTTTAGAACAGCGGTTCTCAACCTGTGGGTCATGACCCACAGGAACTGTATTAAAGGGCTATGGCATTAGGAAGGTTGAGAACCACTGTTCTAGAAGGATAAACAAGACACTAACAACAGTGTTTATTGAGGTACTACTGATAACAATAAACTGCACTTTTCTGTTTTGTTTGTTTTTTTTTGAGACAGTCTCACTATGTCACTCTTGGTAGAGTGCTGTGATATCACAGCTTACAGCAACCTTAAACTCCTGGGCTTAAGTGATTCTCTGGCCTCAGCCTCCCAGGTAGTTGTGACTACAGGCGCCTGCCACAATGCCCGGCTATTGTTGTTCAGCAGGCCCTGACTGGGTTTGAACCTGCCAGCCGGTGCCCTAACCACTGAACTACGGGCACGAGTGAGGCTGCACCTTTTAAGGTATGCAATTTGATAAGATCTGACATAGGTATACATTGTGAAACCTCACTGCAACACTACCACCAAAACCTCAGGGGCTTGCTTTTCATTCTATTTGTTTCTACTCTAAAATAAAACAAACAAACAAAAAAACAAGACCATGTGTTCAACACTTTCAACTCTAAAATGTTACTCATCTAGTTAAAATACATACAATGCTGTTCAATTCAGTGAGGTTTAAAAGGCCTGAGTCAAGGGTCACTCCATAAGCTCCTTCCACACACCCCTGAGCCGGACGATCTCTACTTCTCCAATTTAAGTACATTCAAGCCTTAACCATTTTACGGCTTTTAGGACTAAGTTACGTCAAAACATTAAACTCTAGGATAGAAAAATAAAATCACTTGAAACAACAGTATTTCCGCATAAAGCAGACAGCATTCCGAAAGGACGTGTATACATATTCTTGAGACACATCTGGTCTGTCCAGGGCTTGGGCTGGGCATCTCGAGGTTTGCCTACAAAGCTCCAGAAATCTGTCATGCAAACTAGTCAGGAATAATACTTGGGAAGGTGTGAGCTTGCATCATTATGACCTAATGAAACAGTGAAGTCAGCTGAGGAGATGCACAGGGCTTAATTTCACACCTGAGGTATATCTTAACGCCAGGACCATTTTTACTGCCATCAAACAAAACCAACACAACCTGGCTCAGTACCCAGCACCTAATGATGGGGGTGGCCTCCTTGGAGGCCTTTATCAAAGGTTCAGCTCGTTCTGGAAAACCATCCAACCCAAAGGCCACTGGACCTCTGGGCTTTAGCCTGTGCCCCAGTCCTGCCACAGACATTAATGCTAGGGACACTACTGTCCAGGTGTGCTCAGCCCACCCATTCAGGGGAGGCATAGGAAGACCTGTCAGTCTGTGGGACACAAATCCCTTAACCTAATATAAAACCATGCATACCTCAGAGTGTCACAATCTCCTGATCAGTCAGACAGCAGTTGGCATTACCTCCATTTGACTTTGGGGGAAATAAGTCACAGTTCTGTGAGCCCAGGTGCCTTAGCTAATCAGATTTTGGCCCTTTGTTTGCATTTTGCATGAAACAGGACATCTGCTGCTTCTCCTGAACTGCAGAAGCCATTACATGGTCATGCTCAGGGACCCCAGGGGGTGTCCAGGGGACGCCACCACAAAGAGGCTTCATTTGTTAGAAGGCACTAAGGCTTAGGAGTTTCTAAACTTTGGGTTTTAGCTGCATGTGCTAGGATAATATTTGGACAGGCATATTTTAGGAACTTTGTAGACAAATATTCTATTGAAAAGTATATTATCATGAGCTGCAAAGTATCAAGGATTACCAAAAGGGGGGGCAAGGAATAAGAATCCATATTTAATAACCAAGTAAAACTTTACCCCATAAATATATAGAAGTAAAAATTAAAACAAAAAATTACGTCTGGAGCAAAACAATGTTCTTTCTTCACATGCTAAAAAGAAAGGGCAGCTGCAATTACAGCCTTTTTTGCTCAAGAGGTTTTTTATCTTTGTTCCTCTAACTTAATAGAAATTGAAACAAGGAAAAATAGGACATTTCCATTTAGGGTACAAATCCTGTAAATCATAGAGCAAGTCAGAAAATAATAAACAAACGAAACCCATGTAGAAAAGCCAGGTAGCTTCCAGCTGGCAGATGTGGAAGCCAAGAAGGGTATATACTGTTCATCGTTCTGAGAAGGCTTTTCCACTTGCAAATAAATCAAATTCAAACTTACATATTCCTGGGTGAAGTCTATGAGGTTTTGCAAATCAATGTCGTCCCTGTATGCTCTGATGTTGTTGTTTATGAAGAAATACAGCTGGTCTTTGATCCAGTCTTTGAAAACAAATGCCAGAACTCCAGCAGTGAGCTCCAGGAAGAAAATAATTCCCAGAAACACAGAAAACTAAGACAAAAGACACATACACAGAGAACAGTTATAAGGGCTATTTTGATCACATATGTGTATAGTTAAAGGATTCCTCTCTAAAAAGGTTTGCAATTACATTGGGTTGTTACACATCTCCAAAGCAGATAGTTTTCAGTTTCTTAAGATTCATTAATAGAATATTACACTCCAAGAAAGGATTTCTGAAAATTAAAAATCATTTCATAATCACATTTTAGGGTCTCTGGTGTTCCATTTGGTAATTAACCAACAAAGCCCATAAGCAAACATGGATAATAGGAATTCCTCATTAGACCCACATTAAGGCCTAATGAATTTCTCGTGATTAATGTACTGCCAGAGGCTTGAACAATGACCTGCCCCTACGTCTGGTAAGCTTTTGGTACTTGAAAAGATAGCTGATTCCAGTATTTTAAGAACGCCCGTCATTTGTTACTGTGGCCTTGATTCTGTATGCAATATATTCTTTTTATGGATCCTGACACCATTTAATTCCCCTTTGCACCTGCTGTACAGGATAAAATAACAGATGTGTTCATCTTAGATGAAGGGGTCAAAGAGGAAGTGGGGGTGGCTCTGACATGGAAATAATTTCTCATCACAAAAACAAAATGAAACCCCTGGGTTGAAGGCTTTCTCGGGAATGCTAGCTGTGCCCATTTAAAATAACATCAACATTTAGTCAAAGGGAGACTTCTGTGTAACACAGACAATACACATTTAACAAAGGAGGGCTCTGGAGCATAAAAGGCAATGTGGTAGCTGCCTGTTAACTCTGGAGAAATTTCCCTTCCGTCTCGAGAGGCTTCTGAAGAGTCTCATCTTAGTCATATCAGCCTACTGCTCAACCCACGGCTCTTTCCACTTCCTACCACCCCACGTTCTCACCCTTTTCAAACTTTTCTGCTAAAACAGATTATGAGAAATGGGCTGGGAAGGACACCATTCATGGGCAGACTCTCTGGGTGACAACGGCAGAAAGGGTGACACTGGGGCTACACCTGGCGGGCAGAGGTCCTGAAGGCTGCAGAACAGCGAGAGCCTGAGCAGGTGGCTTGAGCAGACTGTGGTTTCCACATTCAGCAAGCAGACACTGAGCAGCCAGCCCAGAGGAAAATGTACTGGGGGAGTGGTGCAAAGGAACAGGCACAATCAGCCAAAGAGAAAAAGACAAAAAATGTTTATTCATTCAGCAAACATCTACAATGGGCCAGGGCCAGTGGCAGGTGGACTTTGCAGAAGTGAGGCTGAGCAGGACCATCCCCCTGCCTCCAAAGGCCTCCCAGGCTTAGGTGAAGGGGGAGTGCAGGAGAGGCAGGGGGTGGGGCTTGTACACTTCAGGTGTCAGCATGTCTGGCAGTTTTTCTCTGGGTGCCTCTGCGAGAGTAGGCACAGGAGGAGGGACGGAAGGCGGAAACAGGTGCCTGGCAAAGTCTTGGGCCCCAAGGTTTAGGTCCCAATTCTGGGCCCTCCAGCTCAGTGCTTCAGGTTTCCATAGAGATCCTGCTTATCTGTCCTTGATGAGTTCATTAGAAATAGAATTTAAACAATTCTTAGTTACCATCAGTGGTGTCAATAGTTTCAATTTAAGCTATCCTTAATCTAGAAAAATGAGCAGAAAAGACAAATAATACCACATTTATTTATTTATTTATTTTTAATTTAAGAGACAAGGTCTTTCTCTCTCTATCTAGCCACAAGTACAGTGGTATTATCATAATTCACTGTAGCCTTGAGTTCCTGGGGTTAGATGGGCTCCTCCTGCCTCAGCCTCTCAGGTAGCTGAGATTACAGGTATATACCACTATGCTCAGCTAACTTTTTAAGTTTTTGTAGAGATGGGGTATTTCTATATTGCCCAGGCTAGTCATAAACTCCTGGGCTCAAGCAATCCTCCTGCCTCAGCCTCCCTAAGTGCTAGGAGGACAGGGTGAGCCACTGTGTCCAACTAAATCACATCACTTTTGCTCAATGCCTACCCCACAGTTTAACTCCATGCCTTTTACTGGGTATCACCCTAAACATGTAAGTATCAGTTACCAGACTAGAGAAATGACAAAATTATAGCTAGCACGCATAAAGCGTACACAGCAAATAAGGAGACAGGAGTCATGCAAAGATTTTAATTAGGTTTTTGTTCTCAGTGCCATAAAGTTACATAAGTTCATTTTCCAGCTCCCCTGGTAAATGTTCTCATCATGTTACATAATACACATATCAAAAATTGAGTCTGAATTCAATTCATATAAAATATCTGGCAGAAACTTATATGCTCCAGGCCTTGTTGAACTCATTTCACTTATTTACAATGGTGCAGCGACTCGGAGGCTTCGTCCCAGGGTCTCAGTCAACAGGAAGGTCCATTTCAGTCTCAGAGCTTATTAGCTCTTGCGTTTTCCCTCAGCAGTTCTTCTAGTCTTACAGCTTCAGAGCTTCGAGACTATTCAGAAACATGTTGGCATTTACTAACTACCTAATTCCTATCTCCTGTTCAAAGATTATTCCAGGCCAATTTTTAATTTTTTATACTAAATGGAGTGAGAGGCCATTTTAAATATTCTCTATGACTTTAAAAAGCCAGGAACAAAAAAACTCTCTGCATTGCCAACACAGGACTTTATTAACTAAGGTGCTGATAGAGAACGATGTCTGCATTTCTGCCTTTTCTCTTACCATGGCATCTACTACACAAATAATAAACTATACGAAAGGGACTATCATTATGAATGAAACTATATTCAAGTAAATCATATTACAGGGCACTCCACATTTGGGGGCAGAGAAGCTTAAACTAATAAAATAATGGCAAGTGATGAGTGCTACCTAGGGCTGCAAGGGGCAGAGTGAGGGGAGCTCAGTAGCACTGAGATGCTGCATGCTGAGAAGGCGGCAGGTGGCAGGTCGCCTTCAGACAGAGCTCTCCTGGGGTCTCCACAGTCTTTGATTAGGTGATGAATGAAGTATTTGGTGGTGGTGTGTACCTGTGTGTGTGTGTATGTGTATGTATAGAAAAGGAGGAGTCTGGCACATAAGGGAGATGAAAATTAACTACTGCCACCACAGTCCCACGTGTGCAAGGCAGAGAACCACCGTTAAACCATACACAAGACCAAGTACCCCTCAGTTTTCCTTATTAGCATGAATCACGTGTACTTTCAGGTTAATCAGCCTCCAAAACCTTCTCTGAACCAGAGCTGCCCAAATTCAAAGCAGGCTGCCCTGGGTGAGAAACAGTGAGACCTTTCTTAGGGATATCCAAGAAAGGGCACAATGTGGCAGAAACGCTGGGGAAAGAGAACCACACACTGTAGTGCCAGTTCTGGGGGCACTCTAGTTTTACATGGATAATGACGATGTGTCAGCGAAGCCTGGGAATGATTTTAGTAACAGGTAATACCATACTGAAACTGTTCTCTAGAAACCCCCAGCATAGGCAGGTGGGTTTCTTCGATCCTTTCCCTGTTCCTGGAAAGGGGAGTGGACACTTCATATTACGGGCTGTGACTCAGACGGCCACCAAAGCCAAGCTCCCCATTGACAGGCACCTTCAGCTGGCCCGTGGCTACTTTCCCAAACTTATTTAAGATGCATAATTGTAAGGCCAGGCACAGTGGCTTACACCTGTAATTCCAGAACTCTGGGAGGCCGAGGGGGGTAGATTGCCTGAGCCGAGACCAGGCTGACCTAGAGTGACACTCCACCTCTAAAAATAGCCAGGCATTGTGTCAGGTGCCTGTAGTCCCACCTACTCAGGAGGCTGAGGGAAGAGAAACTCTTGAGCCCAGGAGTCTGAGGTTGCTGTGAGCTATGACACCACAGCATTCTATACCAAGGGTAACAAAGTGAGACTCTATCTCAAAAAACCCAAAAAACAAAAAACCCATATACATGCAAGCATAAGCCATTTTGTTCTCCTTTGAAGGAATCTGCAAAGAAAAGGCTTTCACTTTTCATTCTCTGCTTTTATTTTTAATACGGAGACATCTCCTGGTGAAACCCCTTCTACAAACATTCATGCCAACAGTGCATGAATGAAAAAACCAAAGGTCTAAAAATGACACGAGCCATACAAAGGAGAACTTTGTACTATCTGAGTACAAAGGAGATTTACCTTTTACTATTTCCCCATATATACCCAAACCTACTGTAGAACAGATGAAATCTGGGAAGGCCACAGCCACAGTGCCTGTGCTTGGTTTCTCTGAAAACCAGGTTTACCTGCACAGCTCTTGACTTACTGTGTGTGTGAAAGGAGGGGTAGGATTGAAATCACTTAAAAGAAGAAAAATATATATATACCTACCTTACTCCTAAAGGTATGTTAGGGATTGGAATGCAAATTTGTAGTATACCTGCATAAAACCTCCATGGGCGGCATAGTGTGGATATACTTGATTACTAAGGAGGCCTGGTGGGGGCCTCCCATAAAAGAAAATCGGGACTGGGCCCTGTTTGCCAGTGCCTTTGCTGTAGCTCACCCTCTTGCCTGTAGATAAGATATCCTCCTACACCCTAAAGAGTTTAGCTCTCAATCTGAGAGCCGAGAACAGGATACTTACAAACTTGAGAAGGAAAGTGTTTTCCCGCAGCGCTCCGATGCACCCCGCGAATCCCAAAATGAACATCACTCCTCCCACCACAAGGAAGAGCCAGACCGGGTCAAAGCCACCGAGATCGGTGATGGAGGAGATGTTGGACAGGACTCCCTGGGGGCAGGAAAGAACACACGGGGCACCAGGATGCAGGGTCAGTTTCCCAGCAGTAAGTATTATTGCCCTTGCCTTTTCCTCCCTCCCAATGAAAAACTTACAGAGGTCATCTGATGATCAGGCATCATTAATATTTGAGAGAGACCCTCCCCTCCACACACACACCCAAACAAGGAACAGAGATAGAAAAGAAAGGAAGAAAGAAGAGAAACTGCCTCTTCCCAAGGTCTGGATGTGTTGACATTTGGGGGAAAATTACATAGAGCAAAAAAAATGACCCCAAGGAAATGTCCCCAGTCTTTGTATGGAGAAGACTTAGTTGTTACCTTTCTATCTTCTGTCCCCAAATGTTAGTCATCTTGAGTAGAAAATAGGTGCATAGGAAAAGCACACACCCCACACCCAGAAAAGGGGGTTAATCTCTAATCCCCCAAGACCTGCGAGTGTCAGACAACTGCCCTCTTCAAAGCTCCTGGCATTTCCCAGAAGACAGGGGTCGTGCTAAAAGTGGAAAACGAACACAGCAGCTGATCCCTGCCACAAGCTTCTACAAGTTTTACAAAGAAAAATTTCACCTCTGATTTACTCTTGAGTTTCATGGGAGACTGTTGGGCTCACATCCTAAAGGCCCGTGAAGGTGACTTACGCTGCTGGCTGTTCTAATCTATTTATTAGGGGTGTTTCCTCCCACCTTCCTCCAAGAGCTGGGATTTAAATGACTTACAAATCAAAGGTTCCTCCCTTACTTTCAACTGGTATTCCTCTGTCCTCAGACTGCCAGAGGAACTCACAGTAATTACACTTCTACTCAAACAATGGCAGTTATTTACTGAAATCCGCTCTCCCTCAAGTGTGATACCACATCAAATACCACCCAAAAACTAGGTTAGAAATTATGAGATTACTTTGAACCTGTGGATGTAGGTGAGCTAATAACCCAATATCATCAAGATTTTATTTTCTTATCTTACTAAATTTGTTTTAACCTCTCCAATCAAAAATACCCCAGTATGTCATGATATAGTTTGATATAATCTTACTATTAATTTGTTTTGGAAGCACCTCCAACCATCTGGAAGAACAGGAAGTATTCATCTGATTCTATACTTGAGGAAAATGGAACTCAGAGCAGTGTGGTGGCTGAAGGTGACCCAACTATTGATTTTTTGCAACCAGAACAGAATGGCTATTTCAATATTCTCTCTACCAAGCGGGGCCACTTACTTGCTTCTTAGTACTTCCCAGTGGACGCTAATGGACATGTGAGTTTAAGAGTTTGGGGTTTTAATCCATTTTAAGGGTGTAGGAACATTTGGAGAAGAGTATTTTGTTACATTTTTCCTGTCTGTTTCTTGGGAAGGAGGTCAACATAAGAAAATAATAGGATATTACTAACAGAATACATATGAGACATAGTTAAAGGCCTGTTAAAAAGTAAAGTTTAAACCTAATAACAAAAGTCAAAGGTTTAAATAAAGTTACAGAAGAAAGGTGACGAGGTTACTAGTTAGGCATAATAAGGCTGTATCTACCTACTCTTGAGGTGGCATCAGAGAAGGCAGCCAGACCCTTTCCAAGACCATCCCGACAAATGCTTTGGTCAGATGTTTTGTTTCCCAGGCTTCCAAACTCTGAACTATGGCTACTCAACTTCAGGAGGGGAGAAGGGTGAAGGAAAGCACAGAAGTACTGAGACCAGTTCTCCGCCTATACAAATGACACTGAGAAAAAACTTTCCAGGGAAGTCAGACAGAATCTGAGCAACAGTGGTAAAAACCCAGGGTCGGAGGAAGGAAACCAATCCTGCCCCTCGGAATGCTTTTCACCACAGACCTTAATACTTGAAATCTTTGTGCTTTGGACCTACTCAGCCAAGGGAAGAGAGGACTTGGGAATATGTGATACTACTCTTAAAAGGTTTATAGTTAATTTAATTAACTAGAAGTTAGACTGAGAGTGTGTGTGTATGGTTCCATTTAAAAAATAAATAAAATGTTTAAGATATAAAATCTTCTTGATTAAATAAATACATAAAAATGAAGAACGTGATGTGGGTAGGGAGGGGGGAAATTTGAGTTAGTTTTCAACTGGAAACTACCTGGCTATGGTTTTGGGTTTTTTTTTTTAAGACAGAGTCTCTCTATGAAGTCTCTGATGACGAAGTAGACTGAGGTCACTTGGCACCAGAAAGAAGAGGCAGCAGGGGTGGACGTGATAAAGACGACAGTTCCCACAGAAAGAGATATTCCTAACACACCAGGTCCCTTCAGTGAATCAACGGCAGCTGCCCTGAGGGCTTCTCTTCACAGGGGAGCTGACCCATGAACCTTTGTCAAGGGTGCTCCAGGAAGGCTTCCCCAAATGCATGGAAACGGGCACTTAATTACCTTTCATTTCTTTCCAATTTTAAGACTATTCTATGATTTCATCACCAGTTTTTAGTGGGCTTTTTATTTGTGACTCATACAAATCTGAGCAAAGATCAGATTGTTCCCATTCTTCCAGCGGCCACAGTTGTGTGCACAGAGCTAAGTGGATAACAGGGATAATCGTCAGGGCAGCTCAGCAAAGCAGGCGAACAGATAGATCTGGTGCCTGAAACAGCCAAAAGGTATGATTCCAACTGCCAGTAGATTCCCAGATCATTCATACTCTCTGGGTTTAATTTGGAAGATTCTTAGACAAACTCCTTTTAATACTTACTCTCCCTAGCCTGCAGAGGTAGTTTTAATTGAGAGGACTTCAACTGTTTCCATAGAAACACTCGTTGGGGGGCTTAGCTGGACTGCAGATTCTACTCATCTGATCCTAAATTCCAGCAAGGACAGAGCTGCATACAGATACCACTGAGAGCTATGGAGGAGGACAGGACAGACTACCAAGAATTTTATTTTTAATGGATTTGGAACATACCCATACAGCTCGGTGCCCATAGCACAGTGGTTACAGTGCCAGCCATGAACACCAAGGTTGGCATGTTCAAACCCAGCCCAGGCCAGCTAAAACAATAATGACAACTGCAACCAAAACAGCTGGGTGTTGTGGAGGGTGCTGGTAGTCCCAGTTACTTGGGAAATTGAGGCAAGAGAATCGCTTAAGCCCAAGAGTTGGAGGTTGCTATGAGCCACGATGCCCCAGTACTCTACTGAGGGTGACATAGTGAGACTCTGTCTAAAAACAACAACAACAACAACAA